CGGGCGGCGGGGCAGATCGGGCAGAGCAAACGGCGGAGGGGCTTGGGATGCGGCAGGAGGGCGAGGAGCAGCCACGGACGGCCACTGCAGCCCTTGCACCAGCTGATGGGGCACTCAGCTCTGCCGTGCTGCCCTAAAGCCTTGAAAAGGAGTCTTACATAGCTCGGGGCGCTTGAGCTTTCTGGTGCAATTGGCCCCTTTTTAGGCAAAGAGCGTCCCCTGCCTTTGGGCTCCCGTGGAAGAGGATAAAACGTACTGATGTGTTCACACGGGATGCTGCTTGCAGGGTACCAGATCCTGCCTCATTCCATGAAGGCCTTGTGGAAATCTCCATGTTGTAACAGCTCGCTTTCTTTTTTGAGGTTCCCAGGGTTTCTCCTCACCAGCTCTGCTTCCTGTCAGGGCAGGCTTCTCCAAGCCCAACCTTAACACAAGAATGGAAGAACTTTTGATTCTTGATGATAGTGTTCTGCTGGGCTACAGAGGTACAGCTGCAAATAGGTCAGTCTCAGTCTTTTTCTTACTGCTCCTTCTCTTCTACTTGCAGGCACAAGTCTGTGTTTTTTGCTGTGGCTTATGTGATCTTGGTCTTTGGAATCCAGCATTTCATGAAGGAAAAGAAAGCCTACAACCTACGTGCACCACTGGTCCTGTGGTCCTTCAATCTGGCCTTGTTCAAGTAAGGGCCTTTGTTAAAGCCAGAGACAGCTGTAGACCCCTCAGGGCTGGACTGATGGAAAGTTCTGGGTATCTACTATTTCATTAGGGAAATAGTCAGGATTTTTCCCCCTTGGAGGATAAGGGAAGTGAAGCTGCTCATAAAGGTTGTTGGGTCTGCACAAGAAACACCTGAAGGTTATTAGGGAGAAGATTTGAATGTAAAGTCTGCAAGAGCAGAGGTCCTTGTTTAAAGGGTGCCTGACAGATATAAGTTTTATTTGAGCTCTATTACTCTTAAAAACCCATATGGGATGGGGGGAAGAGCTTCCTCCATCTCTTTCTAATTTTGATGTATGGGGAAGGAGGTGGGGAAAATTTTGGTACACTCACATAGTTAAAGTAAATCTAAACAAGAACATGAAAGAAGCTGAGAGGTCTTCTCTGGCCAGTAGCATAAACTGGTTGACTGTATCAAAGTTGCTGACAATCACCAATCCTTCGATTCTCTTTCCAGTATGCTTCAATACGGGGTGGGGGAGAGGGAAAAGTATGAGTAGTTGCGATGGCAGGAGCATGATGGTAGAAAGCATTATTTTGCTGTCCATTTTTCAGAGACACCTTTTAAGAACAGCCTGATACTATTGTGAAGCTCTAGATGGGATTATTTTTTTTTCCCCCTGATAGTCTAAAATAGCAGTTTTCAAACTACCCAGTCTTATGCTACTGATTTTCTGCAGTCATCATGAAAATGACTCTGCTCATGTTGTAATTGAACAAAGAAATGTCAATTTTCCAACATTCCCCTCACCTACACACCTTTTCGATCTGTTTGCTGGGAGGGGACAAAACCTGGCTACTGCCTCTGTAACTTCAGAGAAGCATCTCTGCCTTCATGCACAAGTTGATTTTGGCCAAGTCTAAGGGACACTAGTTGTCTTCTGTGAGGGTGGGGCATGGTGGTGGTCTGTAAAATCACAAGTTGTGGGAGAGGAGGGGTCAGGGGATGACTGCTCACAGTCTGTTCAGAGGCCAACTCATGAGAATGAAACATACAGATTGATAACAAAGAAAAAAGGGATGTTTCTTCTCATAAGCTGTGGGAACTGCCTGCCATAGAAAGATGTAAATGCTCCCTGGACGTGCACTGTTGGGCCCTGTCAGGAGATAGGACACCTGGATGACTGTCCCCCTTTTCTGACCAGATGTGGCAGCTCTTACCCTTGAGTGCCTCTTTAAGCAGTGGAAGAGGGTGTAATAAGGGAACATTATTTGCTGCCCAGACCTTGGCTGCTGCCATCATCCCAGAGCTTCCACATGGTGCCAGGCAAGCCAAAGAATTGCTCACAACCTACTTACTCCTTGTGCATTTTCTGGTATGAGCAGCATCCCTTCCCTGCTCTATCTTGCAGAAATATATGTGTTTGAAATCCTAGCCAAGAGGTCTTGGATAAGCCTGTGCTCAGCAAACCCCAGAGCTGAAACCTGCTTGGAAATCTAAGACAACAGTTTGTTTAGATGTTCCCAAGATGGCCCAGGACATCAAAGTGGAGTTAGCTGAATATTCTTGGATGCAGAGCTGTCAGAGTCTCTGGCAGTGCTCTGGGCAGTGTTCAGCTCTCCTCTGGTTTTCTTACAGTGCCATTGTGGCCTGTCGGGTCTGGAAGCAAATGGCCTTCATCCTTTCTACCAAGGGATTTAAGCAATCAGTGTGTAGTCAGTCCTTCTATGTCCACCCCATCTCCAAGCTTTGGGTATATTTGTATGTGTGGAGTAAATTCCTGGAAATGGGTGAGTCTGAAACTTCTTATTCCATATGTTCATAACTCCTTCACTTTTACAAGCAGGTTTTTTACAGGTCTCTGTTCAAATGTTATTCAGAGAATAGAGCTGTCTAGCCTTGCATGGCACTCATTTTCTTGCTCCCTGTTGCTCAACCCAGACAAAACTCTCTCTGGGGTTGGAGTCTGATGTTATTGCTCTGGTTTGATCCCCAGGCTGGCACCTGAACTCAGCAATTCTGCAATGGGACAACTGCAGCAAGGGGGAAGCAGGCAGGCAAGTTGGGGATGGCTGAGCTTTCTACCCAGTTTCCATCCAAAAAAAACTACAGAAGAGCTGGTTTGAAGTGCTGTGTAGGTAGAGCTAGGTAAGCAAGCCTAGAGCAAGGGACTCTTGTACCACAAATGTGCCAGCAGGTAGGTGCCTACCATGGGCTTTATAATTACAGACGATTCCAAGGGATACCTAGGTCATAGTGGGATCAAGCCACACAATGGTTTCATCATTGCAGCTTACTCTTTCTCCCCATATGAAAACTTGCACACCTGCTGTGCTTTGACCTGACTAACAATGCATCTCTCCCTCAACCCAAGGTGACACCATGTTCATTGTTCTCCGGAAAAAGAAGCTCATCTTCCTCCACTGGTTCCACCACAGTAGCACAGTGATGATCACCTGGTATAGCTATGCGGGTATGTCGGCTGGCAGTGGCTGGGTTGTCATCTTGAACTCCAGTATCCATGCTGTCATGTACTCATACTATGCCGTGCGAGCGGCAGGTTTCCAGGTACCCCACTTCCTTGTCATGGTAATAACCATTTCACAAATTGTGCAGCTGCTGGGATTTGTAATAATGTACACCTTGATTATCTTCTGGATGGAGGATAAGGTCTGCCATGCCACCTGGACCGCTGGTTTCCTTTCATTCATGTTTAGTCTCAGTATCCTGGTGCTCTTCTGCAACTACTTCTTCAAGACTTATCTGGGGAGCCCCCAGAAACCCAAAGGGGAATAAAACCAGAGAGGGAAGAAGAAACTCGGGACGTAGAGGAGAGGGAAAGTGGAAAATTTAAACTCCTGTCTGGAGCTCAAGTGCCTGATGGGATGGGTGTGATGGAGGTTAAGAGAAGGTCACTCTGGTTAACAGCCTTCAATTTAACTTGTGGATTGGCCTTTGGTGTGCCTGCCTTGCCTTAGTAGTATGCCAGAGTGAGGTGCAGGTTGTCACAGAGTTCTTGCAAGAGGAGAGGGGAGACTGCTGTGGACTAGAGACTTCAGAGCCATGGTTCTGCTTTTTCCTTTTCTCTGCGTCACACGGTTTTGCTTTGTGCCTTTCCTCCTCTTCAGGGACTGGTTGGATCCTGCAGGCACCAAATCTCCCCTTGCGAAAGAGTAGGGAAAATCCTCTCAAAACAGCATTGCCCACTCCATAGTCCCCAGTTCTGGGGGAGAGCAGAAGAGCAGAGCCCAAACCTGCTGCTTCTCTGTGTGTGGGGCACCCTCAGTAGGTTGTCAGTGGAAAGATAATTGAACTAGAAAATCCCTGCTGTTATTTAAGGTTATGTAGGGAGAGAGAACAGAAATGCCTCTTCATCCTGGAACCAAACTTGAAAGGCTCCTTCAGAGCTGCTCTTCCACTTCAAACCAGTAGCTGACTGGATTTAGGTTCACATAGCTAAGGTAGGGAGAGGAGGAAATATTCCTCACCTCATCCAGTGCCCCTTTTGGTTCTGTCCTGCACCACGATGAAGATCCTGTTCTGCTTCTGTAGGTTGGTACTAGGAGAGCAGATGTGGGTTAAGGCACTCAAGTGCCAAGGACCAACCACATCATGTACCTTGCACAAGTTCTTTCTTCCATCTCTGCCTCAGCTTCTCTCCTCAGCTAGGAGGAGCACTGACCCCTTTGTACCAATCTGTGGGGACAGGAGCTGCTTAAACAATGTCTTGTGGTGAGATGCTGTGCAGACATTTAGTGCTGTGCAGCACTCATGGCTCACTATGCCCAGGGTAGGCATACCCTGCCTGCAGCATCTGAGCTGGCTGCATGTTCTTCTTTCACCAAGGATGGAGGGGTGACACCTTCCCCCTGATGTTATCTTTCAACCCCAAAAGTAACCTGTGTCCTCAAACAGAGAAGGCATGTGAGCCTCATGCTTGTTCACTAGCAGGTGAAACCCTGTCAGAATGCTTCCCTTCCCTACCTTACCTCAGTTTGGGCTTTACCGAGGTAGCAGTGGTGTTGAGCCTCAGTCCCTGCCCCTCCCTCAACTCCCTTCCCCAGGGGCTCAGACAAGTGCTGTCCCCATTGATGCCTGCCTGGGCTGAGCTGGTAGCAGGAGGCTGACAGTACCCTTTTGGGGGGAATCTTGTGACCCATAGCCCCAGGAGGGGTTCAGTGGCATCCTTCCCAAGTGCAACAATTGCCTGGAGCCCCCCAGGAGGGTCCTGGGTGAGGAGATGAGAGGTGGTGCCTCATGCAACCAAATCCCAGCCCCACTGCTCATGGCAGCACAAAACATACAGCCAGAAAAGCAACAAGACTCAGCCCAAGCCATGACCTGACTAATGCCTTACCCGATCTTGTGTAAATGCTGAACTGGCAGACACAGGTTTAAATGTTACCCCCCATACCAGTGATTCAGCTGAAAGGAGCTTTCAGGTGACGGGGCTCAAGTGAGGCTCAAGGGGCTGCCCAGCTCTCCCTTCTCCTCTGCAATGCAAGGCACTGAATCCATTCACTTTAATGGCTGTTATCCTGTGTGACCCTTGTATGATATTAAACAATCTATTTAACCTGACTGGCTACTGCCTCAGACCCTGGGAGCTGAGTAGGGCCCAGCTATGCCCCACAGGGTGTGAGGCTTTGCCTATGGTCCCAGCCCAGGACCAGCCCCATGGGCTGGAGGCAGAAGGGTCCCAGAGCCAGCTCCTCTCAGGATGTATCTGCCACTGTGTGATGTGTAAAAATGACTAATAAACACTCTCACGTGTGGGTTGATTGATTTGATGACCTTTTCCTACTGACCTTTGTTATGAACTGTGAGAGAAGCATTGCTTTCTCCATCTCGATCCTGTGTTCTCCTGAGGATTTAGCAGAAGCAAGGTGTCCAGCAGGCTCTGTCCCTCTGTGCTTACCTCTTCTGCAGTCAACAACTGGTCCTGCTGCTTGAGCCCCTTTGCTCACCAACAGGGAACTAAAAATATGAGGCAGATTACAAAAAAAATCAGGTGTTTCTTTAACATCTGAACTGAGCATGTGGCTGCTCAGAGGCATTGTGCTTGATAAAGCCAACACAAGCCTTGGAGCCTGAGCCAGACAAGGAGCACCCCAGTGTCCTAGCCTCTGGGTGGATGCTGGTTCTTACCCAGTGAATGGGATTTGGTCCTTCAAGGCAGTGGCCTGGAAAGCTACTGTAGGGCTGTGGGCTGAACTTCCCACCTCAGGAGCTGAAGTAGCCAGTAATGGGGGGACCTCTCTCCTGCATAGTGCTGTTTGGGGCACCTTCTGTGATAGCCACGGTCCCAATGAGGCAGCTGTCAGCTCTCTCCTCACACTTGCCTATGGCTGTCCCAGTAGCACTCCCTCAGGTGTGCCAGGCATCCCTACAAACACAAGACCATTGAAGAAGTGGTGTTTCCACAGCTGCTCTTTTCTGCCTAAACTTCCTGATGTGGGGTGTTCTGTGGGGTGAGGTCAGCTGCCCACCTGCCCTCATTCTGCTGGCACTGCCTGGCACAGTGGTGCAGAGTAGGGCACTGGAAGCAGAGCTCTGCAACTCCAGAAGGCTTCACCTCTGGAAGAGCTCTCTGCTGCCATCCATGCAGGCTCTCTCTTGAATCCACCAGAGAGGGGCTGGAAGTCTGCTAAGCATTTCCAAAGCTTCCCTATAGACAAATACACTGGTAACTCCATATAGCTAATTACGTTGTCTGAGCGAAACACAGATACATATAATTAAAAAGTAGAAAATTGCATATTAATTACTAATTGAAAATATGTAGCAAGAATACAGTATGTCTTTCTAACCTCCGTATCCATCACATTGGTTTTCTATTGTCTGTATCTCCCACAACATTTCTTAGTCTCATTTCCTCAGTCTGAGATACAGGATTATGGCATGAGATACTCTTCTGCTTATAGGACAGGCAGATAGCTATTGCCTTTCACTCTACTTTTACCTACTGGCTCTAGATCCCTTTTTTGAAGCCATAACAGAAGTTAAAGGTTCCATCTACGGGAAGTTCTAAACATCTGTAAGTGGTGTGACCACAATAACATGTATGTAACTGTCCCTGCTATACCCTAAAGGCTGTACAGGACTATGGCCTCTTCTCTACTGAGTGACGACAAAACATAAGCTGCAAGAATTATCATCAAAAGGAAGCAGAAACTGGACTTAACAGTTACCTCATCAGTGGTTCATCAAGTTCAAATCTGTCTCTGAGAGAGGCCACTATATGTTTCAAAAGAATGCCAAATGGCAAGAGTGGAAAAGGGAATTATTTTTAATGTACTTGTAGTTATTCTTTACCCCTTTCTGAGGCTGGTTAGTGCCCAGAAGCATGTGTACTTTTTTCAAATTTAGGGTTATTAATAAAAGGGATTATTTTCTGGGAAAATAAATGTCCAATATATGATTTTTTGTACAGAAAAAAACATATTAGCAATAATATTTTGTGAGATTAAAAGCCATAATGTAGTAGATAATGACTTTTTATTATTTCCATTACTATTGTCTTCAGTCTCACAAAATCTTCCTCTCTTTTTTTTTCTTAGAAAGCAAAAAGTAACTACAACAAAATTAATATTAAGAAACTTCGATTGCTGCTGACCATAGTATATTCTAATCAGCATCTCCAGGAACACACCTATCCAATTCTGAGATGCTGAAGAAAGTAAATTCTCATGGGGACTCTCTAAGTTGAATGGGAAAATGTAATGGAATTCAAGGAGAAGTTTCGCATGAGGATTACTTCACACACAACTCTCACAGAACTAAAAAATACATACCTGCAAGATAAGAAAGAAAATTTTCTAAAAGATAGTCACATATAGTCTTCACTCTACCTTTTTACCCTCCTTACCTTGTAGATTTTTTTGTCAGTGATCTCTGTGTCAGTTGCTACGTCATGAAGGAGCTGTAATTTATTCAACAACTCAGATTATTTGTGTTTCTAATCAAAACTGTTTTCTTACCTCCCTGGTACCAGTTTCACGAGCCTGCTTGTGAGCCTAGCTACTATTAGTAATTTCCCAGGTGCCAGGGCAGGTGAGGTGATTAACACACCTTATTAAGCTGCTCAGGAGGTGGGGGGAGAAACTTCCATACATAGCAAAGAGAACAGAGAGTGGTAATATCTTCCCAACAAGAGTTCCTGAAAGTTATGTGTTAGACATTCATGGAGCAGCAGCTGCATGAGTCAGAGCAGCAAGTACTAGTAAGAAGAGTAGTTTTCTAGCACTGACAATCCTATTACTCCTTGAGATGGACATTCCAATCCTATCTACTTCTATTTAGTCCCTTTCTGGTTCAAACTATTGCCTTGTTTTTACTTTGCTTTAAAATTTGTCCCTAATAATTTGGCTTTTCTTTCTCTGCTTCTTAATATACCAGTGTCTTATTGTTTAAAAACAATAAAATTATGCAATTACCCTGCTTCTCCTTGCTCTTCATCCGCTTTTCCGTCATGAAATATATTGAACACATTGCCAATTTGCTTTCCTGAGCTTGCTATTCTGGATGCCTTGCAAGTCTGCTTTTCATAGACTTTGCCTCCCTGTCCCCAGTAACATTATTCTCACAATGGCCATTAGTTCTCTCTTCAGGATCATAGAATAATCCTGGTTGGAAGGGACCTTGAAGATCATCAAGCCCAACCATAACCTAAATCCCCCAACCATAACTTGATTTGCCCATTCAGTGCTTAAATCATGTTGCTAAGCAGTATATATTTATTTTAAATACTTCCAGGGATGGTGAATCCACCACCTCCCTGGGTAGCCTGTTCCACTGTCCAATCACTCTTTTGATGAAGAAATTCTTTCTCATATCCAGTGTAAAACTCCCCTGGTGCAGCTTCAGGCCATTTCCTCTCATCCTGTCATTATTCGCTTGATGGAAGAGGCCAACTCCCACCTCCCTGCAACCTCTTTTCAGGTAGTTGTAGAAGATTGAGGTCTCCCCTCAGCCTCCTCTTGTTTAAACTAAACAATCCCAGTTCCCTCATAGGGTTCTCTCCCCAGCCTCTCCTCATAGGGTTTATTCTCCAGACCTTTCACCAGCTTGGTACCTTTCCTCTGGATGCGTTCCAGCAACTCTACATCCTTCTTGTAATGAGTTGCCCAGAACTGCACACAGTACTTGGTGTGGTCTCACCAATGCTGAGAAAATGAGTGCCTCTAACTCTTGCCCTGGTACCCTTTTTCCCTGTGGGATAGGGCTTTTCCATACAATGCCAGCAGGCCAAGTGTCCTGTAACTCAAACAGTGATCAAAAAACCTGAAGTCCTGATGGTAGCACCTGTTTTGGAGCTAGACATTGATCTGTCTGGTCTCTTTGTTTACCCATTCATCATTCCCCAACACTGGAGAGAGAGAACGAAACTTGTGTTCCCAAATCCTTGACAAGTCATCCCAAAGGCCTGAAATGTATCTCTATTACCCTCAAACCTCTTTTCTCCACCTTACTTACCTAGAAGATCGCAAGAAGGTAATAGTCTGAAGGCTGTATCAGACCAGGAAGTTTCCTGATTATATCTCTTACCCTGGCCCCAGGGAGGCAGCAGACTTCCCTGTGAGAAGTCTGGCCAGCATATGGGACCTTCAGTTCCCCTCAGAATGGAATCTCCTATCACTATCACCCTCCTCTTGCCCTTCTCAGAAGCAGTCTTAATATGAAGAGGTGGTTGCTTCAGGAACTTCATAGAAGCAGTCTCCAGCAGGAGCTTGCTGTTCACCTCAGTCTGCAATGTGGAGCTCACCAAGCAATAAAACTATTCTGCACTCTACTAACAGTACAGTTAGTGACCGTGGGTGGTTGTGCTGCTTTTCAGCAGAGGGGAAACACTGATGGCAGCCACGGATGAAACCTGACTTTAAGACCTAGACAAGGTCTTGACTTTTTCACACTGGCTCCAATAGGAGCTCATGAGAGCTGTGTGGTGGAGTTGGCCTTCTGTTGTGTATATTTCAGCATATCTTTTGTAAGCTGAATCCTGCAACAGTCAGCAGTAGGCAGCCCTGTACACCCCCACCCAAACAACCCTGTTTTCTCAGTGGGACAGGTAGGAGATCTTCACAAGCAACATGAAGAACAACCAAAGTTGCACAGGAACTGCTCAAGGCTAAGCACAGCTACTAAAGCAGGTTAAAAGACAAGGATGAGTTCATGTTGCTCCTGGCTTCAACCAGGAAAAAGAGAAGGGAGCATTTTATTTCCCCCTATAGACACATTACCCAATTGACAGAGAAGCTGGGTCCCCCTTCAATTTCTTCTCCAGGCAAAGCTGCATCTTTATGACAGACATTTGTTCTGGCTTTGCTGTGTTCCCACCTGTGCTCAAGATCAGTGTGGGGTGGAGGAGAAGGACCAAGTGTGTAAAAAGCTCAGCTCCTTCATCAGGGAGTAAGGGAGGATTGTGGCACCACCTGGCTTGGCTTATCAGGAAGATGAATTGGACTCAGCTGAGTCAGGCTCAGTAGAGAGAAGTAAATTAGAAGCCCTTCCCTTTTCCTTTAAGGGGAAGAGTCTTAGCAGAGATGGGAGTTAAGCATAAGAGCATCAAGATGAGATGTGTGTTTGGTGGGAAGGCTGATGGATGAAGGTTGCAGCACAGAATAGAAACTAACTACTGAAGCTACCTCAGCAGCAAGTGGCAAGGTAGGATCCAGGTTAAAATGAGTGGTCCTGTGTTGAATGTCCTATGTGTGTTTTAGGTGCTTGTGCTTGGTCTTTGAATGCACATTGCAGAGTGGGTTGTGCTTCTGGTAGTAGCTGTTTCAGTGCAGGGTGACTTGGCTCCCTCATTCTGGATTACCTCAGAGTAGAGGATAATTTTGTTACAGTGAAGCTGGGTTGACATCTGTGACTGCTTTCAGTATCTGCTCAGCAATACCTTCAGCAGCAGCTGCTCCCTGTGGGACAGGCTTTGGCAAAGACTGAGTGGCTCATATGCTTGGCTTGTGAGGGATCTTTTACTCTGTCCTAGTGAGGATCCCTTCTTAGCAAAGAACCTACTTCCTCTCTGCATGCTAACAGCATTGCAGAGACTGGTTTATGCCAGTTTTGCCTGTCCCGTTTGTCCAACTAAAATAGGTTGTTGTGGTGATGGGTTTTCTTTTCTTTTATAAGAGAAAGTAAAATATCAGAGTTGTACTTTTCCCTTTGAGCATAAATCTGATGAAGGGAAAGGAGGCTGCACTAGACAAGGATATCCTGCTACCCTGCTGCACGTGGAGTTTCCTCGGGCCCTTGGAGAAACCTGCTGCATTGCCCTGCATTGGCTGGAGCAGCAGCTCCCCCTGGTGCACACACAGCCCAGGAGAGCCCGCTCTGCTTTACGGCTTTCTCAACAGAAACTGCCCAGAGGTTGGCTAGCAGGGCAGCTTGCTGCAGCCTATCTCTCCCCTGGAGACTGCTGTTCTGAGTGGGAATGCCTGGAGGGGCTCCCTGCCAGGACCCCAAAGACACCGGCCCCATGCAGTATGGTGAGGAAGCCTCAGCCAGGAGAGGATCAACGTTCCTGAGGGTGCAGGGAGGGAGCTTTTCTCTTCCATATTGTACAGACAGGTCTTTGCTGTTGTCAGGTGTTTGGTTTGTAAGTGAAGAATGGAGACGGCTCCTCCAAACCTTAGGCCCCTGTTCTGACTCAGACTGCCTTGCACTGGCACTCCCAGGGATGCTCGCTCTCACCCAGGCTGCTGATGCTTGTTTTCTGAGTCTTCAGATGCAGGCTCATGCTCTCAATAACCAGACAGGCAGAAGCCTTGAAGGGATTGTGCCAACTTTTATTTTATTATCTCTTTGTTTGGTTTGTTTTTTTTAATGGGATTTGGGGGAGGGAAAG